AGGATATCTATCCAGGACCTTCTGGCTTTCAAAGTTTCCATTGAGAAGTCGAGTGTGATTCTGATAGGTCTGCCTTTATATGTTACTTGGCCCTTTCCCTTTGCTGCTCTTAATATTTTCTCTTTATTTTGAAGGTTTGGTGTTTTGATTATAATGTGTCGAGGGGACTTCTTTTTGTGGTCCAGTCTGTTTGGTGTTCTGTAAGCTTCTTGTAGTTTCATAGGCATATCCTTCTGTAGGTCGGGGAAGTTTTCTTCGATGATTTTGTTGAATATGTTTTCTGTACCTTTGAGCTGTATTTCTTCACCTTCTTCTATACCTATTATTCTTAGGTTCGGTCTTTTTATGGTGTCCCATATTTCCTGGATATTTTGTGTTAAGGATTTGTCGGACTTGAGATTTTCTTTGGTCGATGACTGTGTATCCTCTAGAGAGTCTTCAACAACTGAGATTCTCTCTTCCATCTGTTGAATTCTATTGGTTATACTCACATCTTTAGTTCCTGATCGTTTATCCATCCTTTCTATTTCCAGCATCACCTCATTCTGTGTTTTCTTTAATGTTTCTATTTCAGTTTTCAAACCTTGAACTGTTTCAAGTGCTTCCTTCACTTGTTTGGTTGTTTTTTCTTGGCTTTCTTGAGATTCTTTAAGAGATTTGTTTACTTCTTGAATTCTTCAGCTTGTCTTTTCCTTCATCTCATGTAATTTTTTGCTTGTTTTTTCTTCTATTTCATTAAGGGATTTTCTTATTTCCTCTTTAAAGGATTCTATCATCTTCCTAAGATAATCTTTGAGGTCCATCTCTTCTTCATGCTCTATGTTGGGCTTTTCAGATCTTGCTGGTGTGGAGTCCCTGGATTCTGGTGGTGTCTTATTGGTTTTTCTGTTGTTGAGTCTTTTCTTATTCTGTCTTCTTCCAATCCCTTCTTCCAGTGAGTGCAGGTGGTGTTTCTCCCTCTCTCTGGTGGCTGGTGGAGGGCTCAGCCTCTGAGGCTCGGGCATCCACCGAAGGACAGAGGGCAGGGTGTAGACAGGGGTGAGGTGTGTCCTGACTCAGGGTGGGTCTTCCAGTCTGGGCTGGTCCACTCTTGTCTGGGGGAGGAGGGGTGTTTCAGGAAGAAGAGAGCAGGTGTTGATGGAGGAGGTTGGGGGGAGGGCAGAGGAGCACCCAGACTCACCTGAGGCGAGGGCATCCACTGCAGGATAGAGGGCGGGCTGTAGACCCCTTTAAACCTTTACCACTTCACCCTGACATCACCCTGCACACACCCCAATGGGAGTGGTCGGGCACACCTGTAGCCAGCCCTTAGGAGGTGTGGTTACAGTGTCTCCCTACAATCAAGAGCATTTTTTTTTTTTTTTTTTTTTTTTGCAGTGGAACTGATTTGGTCCCTAGTACCTATACAGGTAGTTTACAACCACTTGTAACATTAACTCCAGAGAATACAATACCTTCTTTTGACTTCCACAGGTTACCCATGCACATGTTCATAAACTAGACACACACACACACACACACACACACACACACACACACACACACACTCAATAAAAATAGAAAGCAGGGCTAGAGCGAGGGTTCAGTGGCTAAGAGCACATACTATTTATTTTTGGAGAGGGCCCAAGTTTTTTTAAATTAATTTTTATTTAAATTAAAACAATCTTATTGTACATACCAGTCTCAGTTCCCTCTCCCTCTTGTCCTCCCACTCCCCCCACCATCTCCCCATCCTACCCCCATCCACTCCTCAGGGAGGGTGAGGCCTCCCATGGGGGATCATCAAAGTCTGTCACATCACTTGAGGCAGGACCTACATCCTCCCCTGTGTATCTAGGCTGAGAGAGTGTCCCTCCATAGGGAATGGATTCCAAAAGCCCATTCATGCACTAGGGATAAATACTGGTTCCACTGCCAGCGGCACTATAGACTAGAGAGGGCCCAAGTTTGCTTCCCAGAATTCATGCTGGATGGCTCAGACCTGCCTGTAATTCCAGCTCTAGGGAATCTGATGCTTCTGAACTTGCAGGAATCCACATTCATATACACATAACCCACACATATACTCATAATTGAAATCTTTAATAAATAAATGGCCTAGGCCGGGTGGTAATGGCGCACGCCTTTATTCCCAGCACTCGGGAGGCAGAGACAGGCAGATTTCTTTCTGTGAGTTCGAGACTAGCCTAGTCTACAAGAGCTAGTTCCAGGACAGCCTCCAAAGCCACAGAGAAACTCCCCCCAAAAAATGAAAGAAAGAAATGGCCTAAATATCACTTCTTACAAGAAAGATTTTTTAATAAAAAAATAATAAAATGAAAAATGTTTTAAAAGAATATCATTTGGGTTCAAGTTCTGATTTTTCTAATGAAAGGAAGTTAATTGACTTGGTATTACTTCCTTAGTAGTAAAAGGAGATAATAATAATATTAATATGGTGAATTATTCAGCAAGATACTATCAGTAAAAATACTTAGTAAATGACCTGGCATATGGTGGATACTTTAGTGATAGTTATATAACATTAAGAATTAATAGTAATATATGTTACAGTTTACAGCTGATTTTTATAATATCATATGCTGAATTTGCCCAAGCTTTCCTGTCTTCGGGAGTGATCAGGGTGATGTTTTATCAAACTTGGAAAGAATTCTTCTATAGCCCTGTTGATATTCCACATAGCTTTCTTTTAAAATTTTGGAGAAATACCTCCAAGTATACTGGAACATACATATAATCCTGGGACTTGGGAGCCTGAGAACTTAAGTGGATTTTAAGTTCAAGGCAAGCCTGGGCGCTCTCTCTCTGTTTGTGTATATATATGTGTGTGTGTGTGTGTATGTGTGTGTGTGTGTGTGTGTATACACAAGGTATACACACACATATATATAGTGAAACAAAGAAAAACAAAACAAAAAAACTTTTCAAAAATATCAAAGTCTTTATATTCTTTTTATCTGCAGTTTCCAATACAGTGGACACTTTCAAACCCTGTCTCTAAATACATTCAAATTATGGGGCTAGGGTTTCAAAATATGGATGGTAGAGTTTAGTTCATAATACATATTAATGGGTTTTGTGATTTTTGGATTTTTCTGGTTTTATTTGATTAGTTGGAAACTGTTTATATTTAATATTTGCATAGGAACAAATATAGAAAATATTTGTATTTATTATTGTACTTGTAATATGGTACTTTTCAACTCTGAGAAACTCTAGTAGCAAAAATATGTATTGAAATGCATTGTTTTTCTTAATAGTGCAGCCCAGTATTAGTACTTAAAGGTCTCACCATAAGATTTTAACTGTCTTCTCTCCACTTCCTTTCTTTACAGATGGAGAAATTAATATACAAAGAAACTGACTTGTCAGAGGTCAAAGAAAAGTATAGGTGGATCAAGAAATAAGTCCCAAGCCTCTTCTCTCCTTGCTTAGTTTTTTTGTCCATTGACTATGCAGCCTAGTGGTAAGTATTCATTTATTTGTCCTAGCAGTTAATAGAACTAAGGAGACGTAACAAAGAGTGAATTTAAGGAATCTGCCTTCTTCTGCCTCCCGAGTGTTCTGTGGTTCTTAAAGAGAATTCCAAGGTTTACTAGGATTTTATTAGTTTATCTGGTTACCTCCCTTGTCCAACCTATAGATTCCTCCTTAGCTTGGAAGGTTTTACCTCTCTTTGGTAATAAGTGCTCACCCAGCCTTTCTGCTTGCTTATTTAGGTTACAAATAAACACAGGGCAAGTCTCATTATCTATAAGTTCCTGACCTGTGCCTCCTTGAGCTGGCTTTGGGATCCTATTCCCCATACTGGGTTGTCTCACCCAGCCTTACTACAAAGGGAGGAGCTTACTACTACCTCAACTTGATATGCCATGCTTTGTTGATGCTCATGGTAGCTCTGCCCCTTTATGAACAGAAACAGAGGAGGAATGGATGGGGGAGGTGGCTAAGGAGAGATGGTAGAGGTGGGAGGGAAGGAGAGGAGAGCAGGGAGGGTAAACTGCAGTCTGGATGTAAAATAAATGAAAAAAATTAATTAATTAAAAAAGATGCCCCCAATAAGAGTCTGGGGAGATGGCTTAGCAGTTAAGAGCACTTGCTGCTCTTCCGAAGGACTGCAGTTTGAATCCCAAATCTATGTCATGTGACTCACAGCCACATGTAATTCCAGATCCAAGGAATCTGAAGCCCTCTTTTCACCTCTATTAGCAGCCACATACACATGTGTACAGAACACACACACATTCATGCAATCCTGCTTGCATGTGCACACACATACATATAAATAAATAGTAGAATCTTTAAGAAAAGGATGCCTCTAATTTAAAAAAAAAAAAAGAATTTTTGAAATCCCTGGTGAGCACAGCAATAGAATATAAGCTGGAGCAAGGGTCTTTGCCTGCTTTATTCAGTGATAAATCTCAATATTTAGAAATAAATAGTAGCTGATAAATATTTGTTAATAAACCTACATAAACAGGGCTACAGGTGTTATTTCTATTTTTCTTATTCTTTGTAAGTTTCATACATGTATATAATTAATTTTAGTTATTTTTACCCCACTTACCCTTACTTGTTCCTCCTCCCTCTTCTATTGAATCCTTTCTTCTTCCCAAGAAGTACCCCTCCTACTTTTGTGTCTCTTGTGCTAGCATGAGCATAAACAGAGGATTATTTACTGTAGTATGGGCAACTTTCCTCTGAAGAAAATGACAGTTCCCTCACCAGCAGCTATTAAATTGCCAGTAGTTCCTTAGGTAATAGGTGGGGCCTCATGAACGCTTCCTCCATCCATGATGAAATGTTGACTGGCCCAATCTTGGCTGGTCTTGTGCATCATGGCTGCTGTAGGTTCATCAGTTCACTGGCCATGTTGTATACTTTTTTTAATTTGAATTAGAAACAAGATTGTTTTCCATGTCAAGCCCAGTTCCCTCTCCCTCCCCTCTTCCCCAACTAAAACCCTACCTATCAAATATCCTTGCTGATACCCCTGGAGGGTGAGGCCTTCCATAGGGTGTCATCAGAATCTATCATATCCTTTGGGATAGGGCCTAGGCCCACCCCCGTGTGTCTTGGCTCAGGAGTATTCCTCTACGTGGAATGGGCTCCGAAAGTCCACACCTATGCTAGGGATAAGTACTGAACTTATTTTCAATTGGCAATTTCCTGTAGATTTCACAGGTTTCCTCACTGAAACCCATGTTCCTGGGGTCTGGATCAGCCCCAGGCTGGTATCCCAGCTATCAGTCTGGGGACCAAGAGCAACCCAATGTTCAGGCCAGCTGTTTCTGTGGGTTTCACCAGCCTGATCTGGATCCCTTTGCTCTTCACTCGTCCTTCTCTGCAATTGGATTCCAGTTCAGTTCAGTGATTAGTCGTGGGTGTCTGCTTCTACTTCCACCAGCTGCTGGATGAGGGCTATTGGGTGGCATATAAGTCAGTCTTCAATCTCATTATCAGGGGAGGGCATTTAAGGTAGCCTCTCCTCTGTTGCTTAGATTGTTAACTGGTGTCATCTTTGTAGATCTCCAGACATTTCCCTAGTGTCTGATTTCTTTGTAAACCTAAAATGTCTCCATTATGATATCTCCATTCTTGTTTTCTTCAATTCTTCCCCTGACTCAACCTTTCTGCTCATTCATGTCTTCCTCACCCCTCCTCTTCTCCCCTTTTCATTCTCCTAGCTTCCTCCCCCCTCTTCCCATGCTCCCAATTTGCTCAGGAGATCTTGACCCTTTCCCCTTCTCCAGGGGACCATGTATG